GAGGCTTCCTTAGCCTGTCTGCGCAGGTGGTAGGACTTAGATCTGGCCTTCAAAGAAGAGCCTCTAGTGGAATTGTCATCTGCCATTATAGAAGAAAGGACTCTAGCTCCAATTTAAGGCGGTTGGCTCGCCAAGGTTTCGGCCTACAACAAAGGCCGGGTGTCCTTTCAGCTGGCCCGCGCCCCCTTTTGGAATTTAGATATGTAAGTTCTACAATATTATTATTGTTATAATTATTAATATAAATATATATACATGCGTATAAGCACTGTATATGTAATCCAATCAGTGTTGGTAATGCGTTATTGCCAAGTACCAATAATATATATGAAAATATATATATACCTCAGAAAACATATATATGTATATGTATATAGTTATGTATCATTATCATTATCATTATCATTATCATTATCATTATTATTATTATTAATAATAATAATACTTTTTGACAAGAAATAAACCGGGACCTGTTCAGCGCTCCCAGGAGGGAGTGACCCCAGATACGGTGTTAAATTCTCCAATTGTCCAAATGAACGCCTGAGGCTGAAGTGAGGCCTCTGGCAGCTGGAGCTCCCAGGCAACCACCGGGAGGGATAGGCTGCAATTCCCTGCCCTGAGCTGCTGCGGAAAGCCAACAATTTGCCAATATCTAAGAATGCAGTAAGTTCTCACAGGCTGGGAGGCCTATGATTAGAAGACTAGTTTCTTCACAGTCGCAGAGGCCTGTTACAAAGCGCCCGAAAACGTGGCGGCGCCCAAAATGGCGGCCGCCCACGATCCCTTTAAAAACGGGCCGCTCAGGGCAAGACTAAGCCTCTCCGGCAAACCTGGAGGCCGAGAGAGGCAGCGAGACAATTTTTCGCCCCTTTTTGGGGCGATCGGCGTTCGCGGTGGGGGGGATCACCAGCTGCGCTTATCAGCGCGATCGAGTGGAGCCGCTACAATAGCGGCGCGAAAAAGCGGCAGGAAAGGAGCCGAATTGGAAGGGGGGGGAGGATTGGCGCCGGAGCGCGAAAGCCGCCCGCTCCCTATCCCCCCTGGGGGCGAAGAACGCGCTCCCCTGCTATAGCCACCCCAATTGCGCAGAGGCTAAGGAGAACCGAAACGCAAGGCAAACCTGAAGTGAAATTTTTTTTCTTTTCTATAGCTATTAAAAAGGAACTTGAATCAGCCAAAGAGTGGAGAAATGCACAGCCTAATCTCACGAAGGCTGAGCGTAAACTGGGGATTGCAAGGCAGCCACGTGGTGAAGGGCGGAGCAATCCTCAGTAATTAAGCTCAGCCTACAACGACGCAGACTGAAGCACCTCCCACTCTCTGGATGATCCGAACGGCTCCCAGGAGAACAGGGGTATTTTAGAAGACATTATATACGGGAGTCTCTGTGGTTAAACTGGGAGAAGGTTAAAAGACAATGTTATCTGAAAATTCCAGTCTGGTTATCGACTATTGAAGCATTCTCGTATCCTATAACATACAAAAAGGAACAAACAGTTAGATATGGTGAAATACTGAATGAAAAGGGTGAACTTAAATCAATGCAAAAGCTAGAGGAACAAGGGATAAAGATGAATTGGTCTTCATATGCGCAAATACATTCAAGGTATGATAAAGATTCTAAGTCAGAAGGTTTCTATGATAAATTGATTGACTTAGATAAGATTTAGACAGGTACTGATGAAAAGGTGATTAAAAAATTGTATGGATATCTATTAGAAATTAAACTAGAAGAAGAACAAGTTAAAGAAACTATGATTGCTTGGGGGAAGAATTTTGGATATGGGATTGATTTAGAGAAATGGCAAAAATTGTGGTCTCAAAATTATAAAATGACAATGTCAACAGCATATAAAGAAAATTTGTATAAGATGTTTTACAGGTGGCATTTTCCCCCAACAAGAATAGCAAGAATGTTCAAGAACAAATCTGAAAAATGTTGGAAATGTCAGCAGGTACCTGGCTCATATTACCATATGTGGTGGACTTGTGCAGATGCCAAAAAATATTGGACTAAAATCCACATGTGGTTGGAAAAAATGATGAAAAAACATATAGACTTGAAACCAGAGATATTTTTATTGGGAATTTTACCTGAAATATATAGTAAAGACTTGAAATATCTGATTGTAAATGTATTAACAGCGGCTAGGATTGTATTTGCTAAAAACTGGAAAAATGAGAAGATACCATCACAGGAGGAAATCATTAAGAAAATATTGGAATGTGCTGAAATGAGTAGATTGACATTTGAAATTAGAGAACAAGAGGATAAACAATTTTATAAAATTTGGCATCTTTTCTATCAATGGTTAGATAACAAAGTACAGTAATGAATTATGTAGATTTTTAGAAAATACTACCCTGTTTCTCCAACAATACAGCCTTCCCCAATAGGAAGTCCCAGCTTGTTTTATAGGCATGAAATGAAATTAAGCCCCTCCCCCCAAATTAAGGCCTATATTAAAACATGCGAAATGGGGGGAATGGTGGGGGGGGCTTGCCATTAGGAAGTACTTTTGTTGCACACCCGGATATGGTGCTGCCTGCGTTGACCCCGATATGAAGTGCCCCACCAATGCCGAGGTCAACATCCAAGCCATCACTGCCCGCCCCAAGATGCAAGGGGGGGAAAATTAAGTCACCCCCAAAAAGACGGCCTAGCCATTTTTTCGGGGCTCAAAAAAAAAAATAAGACCCGGCCTTATTATATGAGAAACACGGTAAATATATAAAGATGTACTTCTTTCTTATTATAATTACAAAATGATTTTAGGATAGATTTGGGATGATAATATGAACAATACAATAAATTAAGTAAATTATGGTTATCTTGTAAAACATAAATGAATAAAAGTATAGTCAAATGATTGATTAATAATGATACTAAGGTATTTAGTTTTTGATTTACAATATGAAATTATATGTAATGTAATTGTAATTGAAGACTACAAAATGGAAGCACACAAGAATTCGTAAACCAACCGGCACACTGTATGTACATCTATGGAAGACAGCTTGATGTTTTTATGTTTTGTCTGTTTATGTTTGTTTTTAAAAACCAATAATTTTTTTAAAAAAATTATAACTTAATAAAACAACTGTACTATTATATGATGAATACTATTTTATTTGTAATAAATAAGTTGTAAAATGTGATTAGAAAGTGGCTATTTTTAAAATGGCAAAGTTAAAAATCAGAAAGGGGATAAATATTAAATTGGTGAATTATTAGAATTATATAAGTCTGTTAAATACCACAAATATCATTAATATTTTATTTGCAGCTAAAAGAATATGGAGATTGACATGAAAATAAGATATTGAAATGGTGAATAATCAAATAATGAAGATTACAATTTAACAAAATATGTGTATTAATATTAAAATTGTTAACTGTATTAAATATGAAGAATATTGTCATATTTGTTTTAAAATGTAAGACACTCTGGTGCCACACTGTTCACACAATGATATCTTTGTAAAAAACAAGAAAAATTAAAAAAAATTAAAAAACTGAATGCAGTATTCTAGAACTCCTGCTTGGGCAGGGGGCGGGGGGTTGGACTAGATGACCTACAAGGTCCCTTTCCAACTGTTAATCTGTAATTTGGAGCAGTCTCTCTCTGTCAGCTTTATAAAATAGACCAGATTAAGAAATAGATGCCATATAGATCTAAAAATACTCTAATAAAACAGCTACCATGTTTCTCACATAATAAGGCCAGGCCTTTTTTTTTTTTGACCCCCGAAAAAACAGCTAGGCCGTCTTTTCGGGGGTGACTTAATTCCCCCCCCCCTGCATCCTCAGGTGGGCGGGCGGTGACAGCTTGGATGTTCGGGAGACCTTCCGCCACCGTTGTTTTCCCTTCTCCCTTGTTGCCGCAGCGATGAGCGGAGGTTTTTAAAATAATTCGCTTTACCTTCGAAGGCAAAGGGAAGGCGGCGACAGGAGTGCCTGAAGTGCCTCAGGGCTCCGGTTGCAGGGAGGAGCCCTGACTGGCCGCACGTGGCTGCGCCAAACGCTGCGGCGTTGCTCTAACGCCACGGCAGCAAGGGAGAAGGGAAAGCAACGGTGTAAAGTGCCCCACCAACGCAGGCAGCGCCATATCCGGGCATGCAACAAAGTACTTCCTAACGGCAAGCCCCCCCACCATTCCCCCCCCATTTCGCATGTTTAATATGGGCCTTAATTTGGGGGAGGGGCTTAATTTGATTTTATGCCAATAAATCATGCTGGGGCTTCCTATTGGTGGAGGCCGTATTGTTGGAGAAACACGGTATCTTCCAAATCTGAATATGCTTTCCTCCTTCACTTTGTGTGAATTAGGGACAGACCTACCTGAGGCTTTTTGTTAAATCTGTTTCTTGGATTGGGTTCAAGCTGCATTTGTCTGATTATTGGATCTTCCTACTGTCTTTCAAAGCCATTCCTTATTCCTTCTACACTCTCTCCCACTCCCTCAGATTAAGCTATTTTACAAAGTTGTTCCTAGGGAGTACAATTGAGGGAAATAATATTTTTGTTTTTAGAAGCAATCTAATAAGTCAATAAACAAATCAATAAACAAAAGTTTAATAAACTGAAAGTCTGATAAACTATTGGTGAAGAAGCTCTGTGACAGCAAATCTCAGCTTCTGAATTCTTATGAAACTACTTGAAGCAAAATCAAACATGCTTTTCCCATCAATAAGCACCAATTATTCCTACAGGCTGGAGGATATTGCAACTATGTTTCCTCATACCAGAAAAGTCTACAACGCTGTTATTCTCTGGTAATCTTCCATCTAAGTATTAACCAGGTCCAATTCAGTTTAGCTTCTCAGCCTAGGCAAGATTGACGGTGAATCCCTGAGACATATTCCAAAAATCAAACAGCAATATCAAAATCTATGTATTTGCCTGTTCATGAATCTATTCCAAACAAAGCGATACAACACTCTTCTAGTTTGACACCCTTGGAGAACGTATTAAGGATGAAATTCAGAGAAAACCTCACCTGTGTAGTAGGACACTGAAATTCCAGCAACACCAAAGGGCTAGCACATTTCAGGATGTTGAAGTAGAACAAGTAAGGCTTCTGCCTGAAAAAAGAACAAAATATTACAAACTGTTATTCTATTCGTTCTTTAATAAGTGATACCATATGATATACAAAGCTTCAAAAATATGGAAGGTGCTTCCTCTAATCCTTTGGAAAAGGCTGGATATCACTTCTAAATGAAGTCAGTATCAAGCATTTTTCTTGCTTTTACCAGGGCTAATCCTCCTAATAGATTTGAATTATAATGTATTCTTTTAATTGTATTATTATTACCAGTGTGGTAGTTTACATTATTGTCATAAACCTCCTTGTCTGCTTGCATGAATGAAAAAGCAAGCTATAAATGAAGTATATCTTCAAAATGAGAGACCTAAGTATAGCCCTATTTTCATACGATTCTGTATGAACTTTGATATAGAAGCTTAATGCAATTAAGCCAAAACCCAAAACCCAACTATTTTAAGAAACTGCCTTGAAATTTAGGCTATAAGCGGGAAGCATTCTTTTTCCTACTGTGGTCTCTTTATTGATTTCTAATATCTCTTTTAGTACCAAGGGGGTGGGTGAAAAGGTGAGTTATAGCAGAGGGAGAACAGAATACAAGATGCAAACTTATCTCCTTTCTTAGACAATTGGCTTTATGAGCAAAGCCTGTTATAAATTTCCTGTAGAAGTTAGCAAAACCTAGGAAAGAATTGGATATACATTGGAAGCATTGGCTGTGTGAGGGATTTGCCAGTCTAGGACAGCTAGGACTTTCTGGGTGTCCATCTGGAAGACTTTTGTGGAAATATGATAACCCAAGAAGTCTAGTTGTTGCAGATTGAAGGCACATTTTTCAGAGGTGGTATTCAGCCGGTTCAGACCGATTCAAGCAAACAAGTATCTGAAATTTTAACTAGTTCAGAGAACCAGCAAATCTCTGGCTGGCCTCGCCCCTGCCCGTCCAATCGCCGCTCAGCCCCACCCGCCTGCCCACCACTCACCCTGCCCAGTCACTCCTTAACTTGCCTGCTAACCCACCATTGCTAGCCTGCCTTCGCCCGCCATTGCTGCCTGCCTTCTGCTGCGGCCCTGATCTCCCTGGTTGAGTGAGCTTGCAAGCAAGCCCTGGTCGAGTTGACTCCTGGGCCAGCCTAGGCCGCCGCAAGCCCCGGTCGAGTCGACTCCCAGCCCAACCTACATGCCTCCGCTGCTGCCACTGCAAGCCCTGGTCGAGTGCCAACTCCTGGGCCGGCCTAGACTGCTGCCTCGGGGTGGACATGGTGACGCTTGGTTGCCTTTCAGACCTGGCTCTCGCCATCCTTCCACCCGTATCCCACTCACCCTCTGGCTCTGGCCTTCCCTGGGGCCTCTGCCCACATGCTACCTGCTTGCCCTCCACCTTGCTCACGTTCTGAAGTGGGGAGGAGACACTTTTGGTGCGGAGGAGACACTTTTTGCGAGAAGCCTCCAGCTGTCAGTAGTTTTCAGTGCAAGAAGCCTCCAGCTGCCTCTTTTTTGGCGTGAGAAGCCTGCAGCTGCCACTTCTTTTTCAGTGCAAGAAGCCTGCAGCTGCTTCTGCCGGCTCGATTTCAGCAGGCAAAGAGGTGGCAGCTGGAGCAATGGTGGTATTCAAATAAAGTTGCCACCGGTTTGGTGAGCGTGCTTTGTGTTTGTGCCACACACTTTGTGTGCATGCGCGCACCAAACGCACACTTTGCGCAGGTGCAGAGGCATTCTAACTCACCTCCTGCTGGTCACTGCAGCGCTATTCTGCAGCGAGGCTGGTCGCTGCAGCGCTATTCTGCATCACGCAAAGCAGCTGCTCTTCGAATTCTGGCCATAAAAGTGAGTATGGGAGCCCAGGCAGGTGGCTGGGCCAAACACAGAGCAACGGAGAGAACCGGTTCGGTCTCCACTGCTCATTGCTGCTACTGGCTCTCCAGAACTGGGCAGAACTGGTCAAATACCACCACCGAGCTGGAGGCTTCTTGTGCTGAAAAAGAGGCGGTGGCTGCAGGCTTCTTGCACCAAAACAGAGGCCTGAAGTCCTGTCATCACTGTCGCCCCCACCACTTGCTTTCTGCCATGGTGAAGGGGGCAAGATGCAGGCTGACGGGGAGCCCAGCAGCTCTCAGCCCTGGCTTGCCTTCCTCGGCAGCCAGCCACTGGAGGAAGATAAGGTCGTGGCCACAGATTATGTAGGGGAGAAAGGAGATTAAGGGCCAGGCCAGGGCCTCTGAAGGAGGGGGAAATGGGCGAAACATCGCACTTAAGGGAGAGCGGGTGGCGAGCAGGTGGCGGCTCCGGGGCAAGGCTGGAGCTGGGGAATACACATTCCCTGACCCAGCCGAGGCAGCTGGCAGTTCCAGTGCCTCAGGGAATAGTGTGTGTCCCTGAGACCCCGGCTCCCGACCCAAGGCGAAGAGTCAGTGGGTGGCATGAATTGCTTACCTTTGGTGAGCTGAGGTGACCGGGCATCAACAAGGCAACTGGTGAGGCAATTAGCTGGGCCATGTGGTGAAGGCAATATATATAGGGCGGGGGTGGGTGGGGCGAGCATCGAGCAGCCGGAAAAGATGAGCGAGCATCTTGCATCGAGCATCCAGAAGGGCCGAGTGAGCAGCAACCGGGCGACCGGGTTGGGGGCGTCCAGAAGTTGCTACCGGTTTGGTGACCCACGCCAAATTCTTGCTACTGGTTCGCCCGATCCGGTGTGAACTGGCTGAATATCAACTCTGGTTGCCAGCCTGTTCTTCGCGCCAGCTGCGTGTGCACATCCCATTGCTTGCCGGTGCCGCTTATGGCCAGACCTGGCCAGGAGAGTCAGGACAGGTCACAGGAGCTGCCTTCCGAGCAGCTCCGCTGTGAAGGGAGGCAGAAAAGTTCAGCCAAGTCTTGTCCTCCTTCTCAGACGTACACACAGTGTGTGCACACATCTCATGGCGCTGGGACCTTCTGCGAGGAGATGATGTGTGGGCGAGTCCCTTCTGGCACCATGAGATGTGTGCCTGTTTGCTCTGTGTATATAGGCCGAGAAGGAGGAGAGAAGCAGCCAGGTTGAATGCTAGAAGACTTAGTGAACTTTTCTGTCGGTTATGTGGGCGTGGCTTGGTGGGTGTGGCTTGGTGGGGATCATGTGATTGAGTGGACGTGGCCAACTCAATGTCACTCACAGCAAGGTGATGCTGAATTGGCCATGCCCACTCAGTCAAATGACCCCCCCACCAAGTCACGCCCACAGAACCAGTATTAACAAAATTTGATTGCTACCACTGACATTTTTCTGGCTTGGCAAAGAGATTATTAGATTGTTAAGATAGTTATCTCTTAGTCTCGGGAGGACTGTGCACAATTTGGAAAACTGTTTTACAAAATGATTGTAATATGTTATCATGAAATCTTCATAAAACATTCACCTGCCCCCAAGATGTTGAATGCAAAATTACAATGGAAGTGCTGAAATATAACCACCATTAAGTGGGGGCTTCAAATGTATTTTAGCCTTTGTTTGGTTGGATATGTTTAGTGCCATGTTCGTTCAAATCATCCTATTCCAACTCGTCTGGAACCTGGCCACCCAGTCACATATCAGAAAGGGATAACATCAACGCTCAATTATTTGACTGTTTTAAACTTAGAGTAATAAGACCTTCAAAAGATGAGATCCTCAAAAACTACCAGAAGCCTTTTAGATTCACCAATCTCTTGCAGAAAACTAGAGAATTTCTCCTTGATACTTACTCATTGGATGTGCCCTTTTGCCCACAGAATTGACCACGACTATCTGTTGGATAAATCACCTTGCGAGGGTCTCCTTGTGTCCATGCTGGAAAGAACATTTAATTAAATTCAATTAATTTAAATAATTTATTTTAGGCATTGCCCAATTCCAAAATACAAGTAGTCCTCAAGTTATAAATGAAATCGAGCCTGCCCATTCCATTTGTAACCTGAGGATTCATGGGAGTGAATCTCATACCTTGAATGGGATCACTCCCTTTCGCTCACACATTTGCTAACCGAATGTGAGTCTTGTTAAGTGCACATGAGGTATTTCAGGGTGGGGAAGGCTATGTGGGACCTAGAGATGGAACAGACCACCTGCCTAAGAGCACCCAAGGCCTACTCAACCCACTAAAATACCTCATGCTCCCCATAATTGCTTCCCCTCACCCACACAACCTGCTGCACCAGATAACTTACTTTGTGAAGATCTACCAAGCTATCTCCTCTCCAGCCTCTCAGCCACATATACCCCTCCAATGCTCTGTTCGAGCCTCCACGGGCCTCCCTGTGCACACTGAAATGGAGCTTCCAAGGGGCAGATCCATTTCATCCTGCAACATGCCTGGAGAGGCCCATGGAGGCCTGAATGGAGCTTCCAAAGGATGGATCCGCCCCTCAGAAGCTCCGTTTTGGCATACAACAAACCGGGAGAAGCCTGCAGAAGCCCCAACGGAGCATCAGAGGGTTGGATCTGCCCCCTCAGAAGCTCCATTTTGACCTGCAATGTGCAGGACGAATGTTGCAGAGCCTTTGCAGTTGTTTGTAATTGCAAACAACTGCCATGATGCTACAAGATTCATAGTTTCGGGACTTGTTCATAAAGACTAGGGGGCGCTTATTGTGTAACTTTGAATGTTCACTAAGGGAATGCTCATAACCTGGGGATTATCTGTAACTTTTCTCCAGATCTTAAAGCATCATAGAGCTTCTAAGCAATTACTATAAGCTTTTAACATAACCTTTTATTCATGTCTATATTTTATTTTGGCACCAGGGACCGCTTTTGTGGAAGACAATTTTCCCATGTATATGGGGAGGGGGAGAGCATGCAACCTAGACCTCTTGTATGCATAGTTTATAGTATGGTTCACATTCCTATGAGAATCTAATGCCTGATGATCTGAGGTGATAGCTGGAGAAACTTTGCTTGCTCACCCACTGCTCATTTCCAGCTGTGTGGTCTGGCCGTGGACTCCTGTCTTAATTCATTTAAATATTGTTGAAATGAAATCAAATGTATCTGTGTCCCAACATCAGCCAATCGTTTAGAATGTAGCCCTCAACATTCCTCTCAAAGATCAAGTATAAAATTTGCTACAAAAGGGTCAAATCCTTGGTGCAGCAGACATTAGCAATAGGATTAAAGAGCAAACCATTATTTAAGATTTGATACCATTAGTTGAATCCTACTTATTTACTTATGATATACCTTCTTGGCTGTCATAATTCTCCTTCTCTATCTAACTTTGATATTCAACTTTCAGCAGCAAAAATAATATCTCAAGGCAGAAAAAAATAATAAATAGTAGAATACGTACCCACAATACCCACTGCAACATAGCCCCCAATTGCAACCAGCAGCAGGATACAGCAGATGATATCTGTGCAGCCCCTGGAAGAGGAAATAAGGTAAGTGAGAATAAGTAACAATATACTTGTCTCTGGCACACAGTAGTGATTATTAGTTGATAGTTTGAATCAACATGTCATCAAATTCAGACTTGCAATAAAAAAAAATCTTGAAAATCCTCCAATCAAATGACAAATAAACTATAGCCCATCTCAAGAATAAGGGACAAGCAAATATAACCAACACATTCCTCCTTTGCCCTGTAGTGAAGGTGGGGAGTGGACATTAACTTCTCATAAATAGTAAACTACTACCTCTAGTTTTTAGAGATGTATATAGGCACACTATGATGCTGATCACTACTACAATGATTCAGAGAAGATGGTACGTTAAACCCAAGCCTGCTAATCCTACACACGAAGATGTTGATAGGAAACAAAGCAATCCAGATCTAAGATCAAATAACCTTATTGGGCTTACAGAATTACAGAATAACAGAATGGGAGGAGACCTTGGTGGTCTTCTAGTCCAATCCTCTGCTCAAGCACAAGACCCCATACCATTCCAGACAAATGGATGTCCAATCTCTTCCTAAAAACCTCCTGTAGATGGAGTACTCACAATTTCTGGAGGCAAGCCATTCTACTGATTAACTGCTCTCATTGTCAGGAAATTTCTCATTAATTCTAGGTAGCTCTCTCTTTAATAGTCTTCCACCTGTTGCTTCTTATCCTGCCTTCAGGTGCTTTGGAAAATCGGCTGATCCCCTCCTTTTTGTGACAGCCCCTCAAATATTGGAAGACTGCTATCATGATATATATCTTTATGAAAACTATCTTGTGGTTCCTTCATTTAAAAAGAACTATTTCAGTATGAAATATAAAGGATTCATCCACCCACTCTGCTTATTATGACACACAACTTACCATTTCATGAGATATCTTTAAAACAAAGCTTCCAACCTGTAGGCCTCCCACTGCTAGGGCAGGCTAAAGAAAAGCTAATCTAAGGTATTCTAGTATAAAAATAGTGCTTTGCCTGAAGTTAGGGATGTTTGAATTTCAGTCAGAAAAAACAACAATCACTCAGAGAGGTGTTGGATGGTTATTTTAATTTTTGTTTGTAAACTACTATAAATCTGAATTATGCTGGCAACATTTAACATTTAAACTAACAGATAAATACATATTATCAGAGAATAAGAGCAATCTCCATTCAATATCCAGTCATGAGTTAGCATGATAATTGGTTAAGAACCCACAAAACAATTTTGTCTGATTCTCTGAAGCTAATGTGGCCCCATAAAAATAAAATATTGGCTGATAAAATTATTTATGAATTGTTATAAGATACAAATTGAAATGTGAACCTCTGATCCAGGGGTGGGATTCAATTTTTTTAACAACCAGTTCTGTGGGCGTTGCTAGGTGGGTGTGGCCATGTGACTGGGTGGGCATGGCTTCTTTTTCTGCCACCTGGGCATCAGGGAAGCCTCCTGGGGGGGGTGTCAATTTTGCTCTCAGAAGGCTTCCCTGGGACCCAGGAAGGCAAAAAACGGAGTGCGGGGTGGGGGGTGCACAGCACCCCGTGCTCTGTTTTTGGGCCCCCTAGGCCTCAGGGAAGCCTTCGGTGGGGGGGGGGTGTTTTTGCTCCCAGAAGGATTTCCTGGGGCCCAGGAAGGCAAAAAATGGAGCACAGGGGGGCAGTTCTCCCCCCCCCCACATGCCCCTTGTTGCCTCCTGGGCCTCAGGGAAGCCTCCTGGGTGAAGCAGTAAGACAGCAAGGGGGATCCCGGCACAGCTGATCATTGGAAAAGCTGATCATTGGGAGGGGGGGAAAAAAGAAATACCTTAAGGAGTGACTGGGCAGGGAGAACGCAGTCAGCGATGTTGGGCATGCACGCGATGTTGCGCATGCGCAATAATAACTGGGTGGCAGGCGGATAGGGCCAGCCAGGGGCACGATTTGCCGGTTCTCCGAACTGAGCAGAATCATAACAACCGGTTCTATAGAACCAGTCCGAACCATAAAATCCCAGCCCTGCTCTAATCATGTGTGAGTAATGTCAGTAAAATTATATTATCATCCTTGTATTATAATTAAATAATACTATATTTGGAAAACAAACTATGTCCACGCATAAAGCAAGGAGTGAAACTAGAAAAAAAAAAGAATTTTAGCTATTAACCCCAACCCATGCATTCCAAAGAAATGATCAAGACCTCTAAGCTCTTGGATTTTCAACAGTCATCTTTTCATTACTTCCCAAAGAGAATCAACAGGTGGCAATAAATGGTCACTCTAGATATAGTGTACTAAAAAACAACAGTAAAAACAAAAAAATAACAAAGCCATACTACTCTCAATCCTTTTATCAACAAGGTCGTCTTACCTGTCATAAATGGGGCCTTTGAAAGTTGGGTCATATTTATGTGGTGTCCCTAAAAAATGAGATTGTTGAGTTAGACAATTTATATAACTCAAGAATATGTAAACTGGGTATTATATTGCCATTATTCCAATAAGATAAATATCACTGAGCAAATTCTTTGTCAGGGTTCAATAATGGCATAACAATTCTCAGCTTAATTTGTAGAAATTCTCTACACAGAAGCACAGGAATGCAGAAAATATACCCAGGCAGGAGGCGTGGGATGAGAGAGTATGAAAAAGGATGGTGATAGTGAGGTACTGTAATAGAAAATCAGGATTTGAAGTATCACTGTGTATAAGTTTGTATATTTTTTCTATTTGATCATAGGATGTCATCTGTTCCAATATAACAAAAGGTTCCCATTCCTAACATGTTTATCCAAATCTCTGGAAAATTTCTACTAACTTTGTGCTGGTCTTGGGAGAGGGATAATCTTGATAGATTGTGTCTTCTATTTTTCTCCTTTGAAATATACTAACAGGAAGTGAAGGGCAAAGTTATGATCACTTTATTTAAAGTTTACAATATAAGAGTTTTTTTCTCAAAATTGCCTGCAAAAAAGCAAGTACAGAAGCATCATTTGTGCAATTTGAGCACAGGATTATTACTTTCCCCATCCCATGATTGATAAATACTGTAACTGAGGAACCTACACTTTAAGAGTTATACAAGTCATTGTATAACTTTAAAGCTGCCAAGATATAACCAGAACTCTAATCAATTTTAGTCTCCAGCATATTTTGACAAATTACCTGAAAATTGAAAAGTTTGAGTTCCCATATCTATAATTATTCTGTACGTTTTAGTAGAATCATAATACTAAAGATGAGAATTACTTCTGTTGCCAAAATGTGTACTTATTCATGTCCATTACAAACTTTTCCTTCTGTCATGCTGCTTTCTTTGCCTCTACAAAAAGCAATTTTGCCATTCTTCACCAACGATGCCTTTCAAAAGTGCTGAAATATAAACTGTAATCAACCCCAGACATTGCAATCAATAGGTCTCTTTCCTTCTTCATTTCAAATCCATTTTTTCCTGTATATTTCATTTATCCATGCTCAAAGTCTGATTTCCAGAGAATAGCAAGGAAAGATAAGAAGGACTTCATAAATGAACAAAGCAAAGAAATGGGAAAACAACAGAATGGCAAAGATTAGAGAAAACTGGAGATATCAAAGGAATGCTTTGTGCAAAGTTGTGCATGGACAAAAATTGTAGAGACTTGTGGGAAGCATCCCCCTCCCCAGAATAATCAAGTATTTTGGGAAATATTAAAAAATATTGTATTTCCCTAAAGAAGAAATGGAGAAATATGTTTTAGATTTAGAGGCAGAAAGCAGCCCCCAGTCTTTCTTAAAAGTCCACAGCAGATGCCACTTAAGGAGATTTATTGAAAGAGGAAGCCACATGGCTCCATTCATAAGCAAAGCAAATACTACAGGCAGAAATCCATTGAAGACAGGATATTTCCTTGCAGCAAAGTTTGACAGCTAACAAAAACAGAATTGTAGGATAAGGATAAGGACAAGCAGCCCCTCACCCAAGATCCAACACTGGACAAAAGTCATTAGCCACAATAGGAATTGCCTTTTTGAAACACAAAGCCCATATTGCACAAATCCCAAACTTCGAAGTTACAGAAACTATAAAGATCCATCCACTCATTCAGCCAGTTGGTCAGCTGTCCCAGAATCACATCTGGTTGGTGGTCCTGCTTCATCAATAAACTTTCTTTCCAATCAGCCTCCATGTTGCGTCTTTCTCCCAGGTTGGAACTGAACTAGATGAATTTTCCTTCCAACAGACTTAATAGGAGCAGAAGAGATTAAGATGATATGGCAAGCATACACAGAAGAACTATACCAAAAAGGTCTTAATGTCCCTAATAACTACAATGGTGAGATTGCTGAGTTCAAGCCAGACATCCTGGAGTGTGAAGTCAAGTAGGCCTTAGGAAGCATTACCAACAACAAAGCAATCGGAGGTGACCATATTCCAACTGACCTATTTAAAATGCTAAAAGATGATGCTATTAAAGTGCTGCACTCAAAATGCCAGCAAATTTGGACAACTCAACAATGGTCAAAGAACTGGAAAATGTCAGTTTATGTTCCAATCCCAAAGAAGGGCAATGCCAAAGAATGTTCAAATTACCGTACAATTGAATTAATTTCACATCCTAGCAAGGTTATTCTCAAAATCCTACAAGCTAGGCTTTAGCAATATGTAAACCAAGAACTACAAGCTGGGTTTTAAAGAGGCAGAGGAACTAGAGATTAAATTGCCAACATTTGTGGGATTATGGAGAAAGCAAGGGAACTCTAGAAAACATCTACTTCTGCTTCATTGACTATCCTAAAGACTTTGATTGTGTAGATTACAACAAACTGGCAAGTTCTTAAAGAGATGGGACTTCCAGACTACTCTACCTGTCTTCCGAGAAACTGCATGCACGCCAAGGAGCAACAATTAGAACTGAACATTCAACAATTAGAACTGAACATTTAACAACATATTGGTTCAAAATAGGGTTAGGAGCGCAACAGGGCCGTATATTGTTGTCCTGCTTATTTAACTTTTAGGCTGAGTACATCATACAAAATGCTGAACTGGATAAATCACAAACTGGAATTAAGATTGCCAGGAGAATCATCAATAACCTCAGAAGATAGCACCATAATGACAGAAAGTGAAGGGGAGCTTAAAGAGCCTATTGATGAGGGTTTCAACCAAATGCCTAGAGAAATGCCTAGAGAAAATAAACCAAACATCGCTTCAATATTTGGTAAAACAAAAAGCTCTTTTTTATTCCTTCCTCCGCAAGGGCTAAAAGAAAATAGTTAAGCAAATAAAGTCGGCTCTAATCCAAGTTTCACGGAACCCGACATTTATAATGATTTCCCCTTATTACCCCCTATTACTCCTGATTACCCTTATTACCGATGATTACCCTTACTACTCATGATTACTCATCGTAATGCAATCACATCTATCATGTTTACTTCGCATATTTGAACCAAACAGCGTTTTCAATACACCGCACGTGTTTATTATACAAAGTCTTTGCTGATGGAGGGAATCACCATTCTTCGGGTCGACTGGGCTTCGTTTCAAACGTGTGTATTGCGTAGTTGTGACAGGCATCCCCCTCTACCAGGAACCAGTCTATAAATCACAACTTATTTTTCTACTTGTGGTCCAGGTTTCTCTGGATATTTTACATGAAATTACCTTATCAGTCTGTTTGCACATATATCTGATACTTTCACCCAGATTGCCTCTGTCTCAGGGTACCCCTTCCATCTCACTAAATATTGCAACACTTTTCTATGTATCCGGGAATCTAGGATTTTGTCAATTTCAGCATGTGTAGAATTTCTAGCTATTACAGATTCTTCAAGTTGAGGTAAATTAATGCGTTCTACAGGCTTCAATAAACTAGCATGAAACATAGGATGTATTTGGTGTAATCGTGGTGGTAGTTTAAGTTTTACAGTTACTGGGTTTATCACTTTTGTAATTTGGAAAGGTCCAATATATTTTGGTCCTAATTTCCTACTATTTAAGTGTAGTTTTATAAATTTAGTTGATAAATAAATATAATATCCTGGTATGAATGTTTTATGCTCTTTTCTTGTTGTTTGTATTCTAGTGCTGTTTTATTGAGAGTCTCTTTTACTTTATCCCAACTATCCTGTACTTTTTTCGATCGCATTTTGACACTTATAGGATGTTGATCATCACACTGTAAATCAGGGATTGGAACAAATTCTATCCCATTTACTATTTGGAATGGGCTATAGCCTGTGCTTTCATGTGTGGCATTGTTATATGCTACTTCAACAAATGGAAGTAAATCAGCCCATTCTCGCTGTTGATAAGAGATGTATGATCTCAAATATCTCTCAATCATTGCATTAGTCTTTCAGCAGCACCATTAGTGCTAGGATGGTATGCAAAGCTAAGACCTTGAGAGGATCCTAAAAGACGTACAAACGCTCTCCAAAATCGTCCCGTGAATTGCACACCCCTATCTGAAATTATTCTCCTGGGTGTGCCATGCAGTCGATATACATGTTTAATAAATAGGTTTGCTAACTTTGTTGCCGAAGGTAATCCTTTACATGGTATGAAGTGAACTTGTTTTGAAAACAAGTTTATGATAGTCCAGATAACCATTACTGCTGGGCAATTCTACAATAAAGTCCATGGCTATGTCTTGCCATGGCCAGTTGGGATCTGATACAGTTTGTAATAGCCCTAAAGGTTTTCCTACCCATGGTTTCGCAGTAGCGCAAACATGGCATTCTTTAATGTATTGTTCAATTTCTGATCTCATATGTGGCCACCAGAACTGCCGCCTTACCAAATGTAGTGTTTTCAAAAATCCAAAGTGTCCAGCCTGCCTAACATCATGACATTGGGATAATCTTTTTTCTATAGCTCGATGGAACATATATTTTATCCCCTCTCCAATACAACCCATCTTTATATAAGCGGTCAGTGCTATTGGTTTTTATCCATACATCCATTCTTGTAGCCTCTTGTAATTCCACAGAGATCATAGGTTGAATAACTTCGTCTCTACATGCATTGTATTGAGGTAGTCGAGATAGTGCAGAAAACCAAATTTAAGTTACCTACGCACATTTGGAGCTCCAGCATGGGTGCATATTCCCTCACAAGTAAGACTGAAAGGGCAACACAGAACTAATAAATTATTTTTTGTAGGTTACGAGGCCAACTATAGATATTTTAGATTCTGGGATCAAGGCACAGCTCATGTTTATTGTAGTGCTAGTGCTAAATTTCTTGAGCACGTTGGGTGGAATAAACTGGAACAGGAATCCAGAAATGATATTATTACTGACACCTAAATAGTCCCTAAAGATGAAATAAGTAAACCACGAATAGCCATTAAAGAGGAAGAACAGGCACAGGAGGAGGGAGAAGAACAGGAGCAGGTGGAAAAGGAAAGTCCACCAGTAAGCCCTGTATTACCAAGACGTTCAACCCGTGTAACACGACCACCTGATAGATATCAGGCTAGTGTTGTAAGCCAAGTGAATACAGTTCCAAATAACTATAATGAACTAAAACTGTATCCTGCTAAGGATCAGGCTGCTTGGCAGGAAGCAATGGATAAGGAACTGGAATCATTAAAAAAGTTGGAGGTATACAAAAATGTTAAATCTGGTAAACATGCCATAGGATGTAAATGGGTTTATAAACTTAAGACTAGTGTAGATGGGACTGTTACCCATAAAGCCAGGTTAGTAGCACAAGGGTTCAATCAGACAGCAAACGACTATGATGAGGTGTTTGCACCAAGTCTGAAGGCTACTTCATTTCGAGCAGCATTAGTGTGGGCAGCTAAGAGGAATACATTGTAAATCATTTAGATGCAGAGATGGCATATCTGCATGCACCGTTGCAACACACTATATATTTGAAGAAATCTTTAGGTATAAAAGATGATAATACAACTGATTGCTGGAGATTGAAAAAGAGTCTTTATGGCTTGAAGCAATCAGGATATGAGTGGAACCAGTGTATAGTTAAAGAATTAACTAAGATAGGTTTTGTAGCTGGCATGGCTGATCCATGGTTGTTTAAAAAGGAAAGTAATGGTGTAGTGTCATTGTTGCTATTGTTTACTGATGACATAGCATTAATCACCAAAACTGAACAAGAAGCTACTAAAATAATATCACCGTTAGAGAAGAAATTTAAGATAAAAAGATTAGGTGAAATTAAACAATATCTTGGCTTAAAGATAGATAGAACTAGGGGAGGATACAAGATCTCACAGGCAGATAAAATTAACCAATTAGTAAAGAATTTTAAAATGGAACTTTGTAAGCCGGCTAAAACACCGATGAGCCAGTTTAGCCATAGTGATGTTCAAAGTCCTGTTTTTGATAAGAACATTTATCAGTCCTTGATCGGTAGTTTATCTTATCTCAGTAATTGGTCAAGGCCAGATATAGCATAGAGTGTTAACCAATTAACAAGGTTTAATTCTGAGCCAACTGAAAGGCACTGGCAAGCTGCTAAGCGTGTGTTAAGGTATCTGAAACAAACAATGCATTATGCATTGTATTTGGAGCCCAAAGATGAACTAAGTCTAACTGCATATACCAGTGCAACTTTTGCTACAGACATAAATACACGTAAATCTATGTCAGGTACTGTAGTATTATTGGGAAAAGTATTGATTGGATGGAGGTCTATTTGAGAGAAACATCTAAGTTTGTCAACAATGGAGGCTGAATTCTCATGTTTATCTTTATTATGTACAGATTTAATTTGTTATAAGCAACTATTAATTGATATGGGAATTGATGTAACAGATTCTATTGTTGTTTATGAAGACAACCGATCAGCAATACAGATGGCTTCAAATATTGCTGTTAAGACAAGATCAAAACACACAGATTTAAGATATTTAAATGTGAGACAATGTGTACAAAGTAAGATGATTAAGCTGGAATACTGTATGTCAGAAAATAACATTGCAGATCATTTTACAAAAGCCCAAGGCTCTGTAAAGCATAAGGCTTGCTGTGAGGATTATGGACTTAGAATGTAAGGTTGTATATATTGTCCTACCCAAAGGGGAGAATGTTAGGAATGTAAGTCACCTAACAGTTGGGTTGGAAAATATATAAACCACGATAGACATTTTAATACTGTCTCTTTAAGGGAATGCTAAAATTGTAATTGGGTGTGGTTCCTCAAACGGCCATAAGATGGAGCCAGAAACCTGGGTTGTTCTGTTCTGTTGTTGCTGAGAGTGTTGCTGTTCCTATATTGATTGTTGCCGATCATAGTTCTTCTTGGATTTGATGCAAGTCTGTTACTGAACTGTTTATGATACTGTGTGGCTATCCTGCTTTAGCTATTTTGCCATAGAACAAATCTTGCCTAGCACGTACACCTCTCAGGGCAAATTCCACTGACAGGACTGAAACTGACAGGATTAACTCCAAAAGTCTGTGTCAGCTAAAAACTGTGTATTTGGTATTAAGACATGTTTACCTGAAAAGTATCAGTCATGAAGTTTGCTCCTTGTGTCACGTAGCTTGGTTTCAATGATTAACTCTGTAACTTCATTGTTTCCTGCAATCACCCCGCACCCCCGTCTTTGAATCAGCACAATAAAAGAGGACAGCGCAAAGCAATCGGGGCCGCCGGGACAATTCCATCTGCCCCAGGCGCGATGTGTTTCCTCACCTAAAGAAACTATTTGTTTTGTGTCTTTTTCTTTGTGCTTTGGCACTCACCCTTGCGAGGGCTCCGCTAAATTATTTCTTGAAGGGAATTCAGCAACAGACTGGAAAATCGAATCAACGGACCGGTCGCTCGACGCGACAATACTGGACTTTGTTATTGGAGTATTCTTGGACTGAAAACTGACTGCTTTAACCGTGAATTACTTGGACTGTTTGTTGAACTTTGCTTAAACATTTATTGGAAGTAAAAACCTACATTTTACTATACAGTGTATCTGTGTGCTGGTTGTGTGTTATTCTTCACTACGTCTCCGTGTGCGCTCATTCTCCTAACGAGGAATTACCTCAACACACATGCTCCTCCATTGTTTTAGTATAAATTAAGATATCATCTAAGTATACTAAAACACCACTTCATTGATGAGTTGCATGAAGACAGCAGGTGCTCCTTGCAGCCCAAATGGCATAACGTTAAATTGGAAACAATTAACAATTAAGGGACAATTAAAAGTAGTTTTCCATTGATTCTCCTCTCGTATCCGAACTCGATAGTAAGCTTCACATAAATCCAATTTAGTGAAATAACGGCCAATTGCTAAAGTTGGTAACAAATCGTGGATTAGCGGTAACGGGGAGACATTGTCTACACAAATAGCGTTGAGGCCCCAGAAGTCAACACAAAGACATAATCCCCCATCCTTTTTCTCACAAAACAAAACAGAGGCAGCTATATGTGACTTCCTGGGTTGAATAAATCCACGCGCCAAATTCTTATCTATGTACTGTCTCATTTCCTCCATCTCTTTTGGAGTCATGGCATACATTCTTGGTTTTGGAAACTTTGCTCCAGGAATTAAATCAATTGCGCAATCAGTTGTTCTGTGTGGCGGTAATGTTTTACACTCTCTTTTGCTAAACACATCTGACAGGTCTTTATATACCTCAGGGTAAATTTTTTTCTCAGAATCATCTACAGCTGTTACAACTTCTCTATTATGCATGTATGGAGGGGACATAGGGCCAACTGCAATTCGTAACTTCCGAAAACCATCTTTCCACCATATCATGGGCTTCCATTTGTCTAACCATACTAGACCTAAAATTAGTGCCTCCTGCATCTCTGGTACTACAATAAATCATAAAGGCTCCCAATGACTCCCTATCTCTAGCTTGATAGGGGTTGTCATTACTGTAGCAGGATCCCCACCCAATAACGAACCATCTACTTGTTCAAAACGCACAGGTTTGGGCAGATCTTCCACTGATAACTGTAATTCATCAACCACTTCTCTACTAAACATCTAGTACACCCAGTGTTGATCAATGCACCATACTGACCCCTCAAATTTTCCTTTTAAATTCTCCAATACTACTGGTATAACAAATGGTCGTACGGGATTACTCACCAAATCATCCTCTTCCAGACTGTCCTCTCCGCTATCATATAGCCCCGAGACTACCCAGGGGATGGTTTACCATCAGGTATTTTCTTCTCACGTCTACTTGTCATTACTTCCGTATCCGTTTTTTGTGACACCCCTTGAGATCTCTCAGAATTACCTACCCCTTGTCTCATACTGTGTGTCGCCCCACTACCTTGTATATTACTACTTGTGGCTCCAGGAATGCGAGCCATCTGTTTTATCACATCAGTTTCTATAGATGGACACTCCATTGCCCTATGACCCAAACCTTGACATTGAAAACACCTCATCAGCCCTATTCCTCTACTATTACCTTTAGCTTTCTCTTCCAGCTTACCTTTTGCTGTTAACATTCCCATTTGTTGTCTTCTGGGACCGCCAAACATAGGACGGAACTCCCTTAGTCCCACATCCAATTCCACAACTGTTTTATACCACTCCCCCAGTTTCTGGGGAACCCCTCTATAAAGACAAGCCTGCCTCAATCCTTTATCTAACCCAGACCTAAATTCTCTCATCAATAGTCTTTCCAGCCAGGTGCATAACCTAGTTGCCAATTTTCAAAACTCTCTGACATACTCTACAGCAGGCCTCCCCTCCTGTTTTAATGACATTAAGGCT